ACAGAAAGTGTTTTATAAAATGTTCCTTTAATGTGATATGTTAACAAAGGTGTAACGTTTTGCCTGCAACATTCTAAGGGTGTGTTTTGGACGTTGTTGGTTAACACATTAAAGAGATTCTTTATAAAACGTTCCCTCAATGTTACATGATAAAAAATGAAGAACATTCTCCAAGAAACATTCTGAAAATGTTTTCAGAATGTTATTCTTTTTTTTATAAAACGTTCCTGTTATGGCAAATATTAACACGGTCATGGTCAACGTCAGATTCATTTCTAGAGCTCTTTAAAAAACAAGCTTGTTGCATCTGTTTGAAAAGGATGTTTTAAAAAAAATCTGATGTCACCATAATTTCCTTTTGAAAAAAACAAACAAGCACATAGGCAGATATTGCATGTTTGCGGTGGCATGTGTGAGTTCCCAGCTAGAAATGTTTGTTACCATTCGTTGTTCTAGTAATGTTTTCATCGGGACGTTTTATTTTGGTTCCCAGAATGTTCTTCTGAAAGGTAGGATAATGTTCTCTAAAAACATTCTTAACATTTTTGGTGATAACTTTCTTAAGATGTATGAGCGCATTGAGACAATGAATAGGACGTATAAAAACGAATTTATGCATGCCAATATTCACTCACATGCACTTATAATCACACTAAGGTATCTAGGCCCACAGTATTCATGATATCATATGTGTAAAATATCAGAAAATAATCACAATATAAAGGTTGTGTCTCTCTTATGTAGGTTCTAACTGTTAGATAAGCTATCTGGCCTTGTGTGGTTTGTGAGGGGTGCGTATAAACAGTGTCCGCTGTTTATGCATATTGGATAAAAATCGTTATTGCACCCTTTAGATTTGAGACCGACAGAACGGACCGACTGTCACTGCCCTTCTCTGAAACCCCTGTTAGTGTTTGTATGTGTTTGTTTCTACAGTGTGTCTCTCTCTCTGCCTGCTGGTCTGCTCGACACGGCTGGGACCAATCTCCAATCAACCACACCGGCAACCTGCTCATCAGCCACACTATGAAAGCCTGCAGCCTGCA